TATTCAGGTTGTAAATCGTGTTTTTAAAAAGTAACTAAGTAACTAAGTAATTAATTACTTTTGAAAATAAGTAATCAGTAAAGTAACGGGATTACTTTTGGGGGGAAGTAATTAGTAATTAGTTACTGATTACTTTTTTCAAGTAACTTGACCAACACTGGTCCTCATTGTGTTAACCTAACACAGCAAAAAGGATAAATATTATAAATGAGAAGTAACATTTCTCTATAAAGAATAAGATGGACTTCCACTGAGCAGGCATCTCCGGGTCTTATCTTTGACAGAAATGAGTCCACTCTTTTTCCTGCAGCACATAAAATAAATATTTGCTCGTCTTTAAAATCTCATATCAAGCACGACTACAGCAGTCCAAGAGTTGGGCCTAACATTCTTTCAGAGTGGCGAAGAAGGCTGATGTCATGCAGCCATCTGTCACACTGGTGGTCCAAACCTCAGCTGGAGGTGGACCGGCGTGATCCAGACTGGCCCAGCCAAGGCGAAGCCCACCTGGTGGGCATTTAGTACAGTTTCACTCTCCACCCCTGCAGTGCCAAGGGCACTGGCTGTTACAGCCCGCCACTATTGATCCTTTTGGAGACCGAGCCTCGGTCTCGCTTCAGCAGTGGCAGGTACCCAGGCACCAGATGGCCAAAGAGACCACCGCCCACACACGGGCACCCACATATGCACAACCAAATAAACAAGACCTGATTCAGATCACTTTTACATAGAAGCATATGGTCTGTGGCTTGTACGCACAACTTTTGTACACATTTTTTTTTTGTTTTTGACACCAATACAACTATTCACTGCGTGTTTTTGCACAGTCACAGTACTGGTAGTGTTTACCTTTTTTGTATTCATTTGTTACTATTTTTAGAAGTAGAGGCTTTAGAAGTCGGTTCATAATTATCAGCATGATCACAGCAACAAGACCCACTGTTTATCCCCACATTCATTCACACTTATTAGCCAATACGCTGGTGAGAAACAGCACCCCACTGGCTGCAGGTTATTTAAGTCCTGTGGAGGAAACAGCAACAAAATGCGTCAGTGACAGCATGGGAGCTGCGTAATTTAAGCTCCTAATTTCAGCAAAAAAGTCACGTCCAGGCCGACTGAGCTGACAAAGATGAAACTGACCATAGTGAAGTTCACAGGATGTTTCATGTCCTCGTTTATTCATTATTTTGTAAGATTAAAAGAGTTAAACGTGTCAGCTAATGAGCACAGTGTGACCCAGCACGTAGTTAAGCAGTTTTCCACTAATAACACCAATATCCACAATTGTAACGTGCGCCTTAACCTTGGATATTTTTTTCAGGGTCCAATTTATCTGAAAATTCACAGACTCCAAATTATTCATCCAAGTCTTCATTAAAAGTTATGTCTATAATTGTGCTTCTTAGGTATGATAAAAATATATTCAAGCAATATGATTCACTTTTTTCATTTAATAAATATAACTCATGCAGGTTTTATGTTCGCTCAGCCTTCTTTGCTTTTATTTGCTTGTATGTGGCCATGAGGTTGCCTGTTAATGTACAAATATCACAGTGCAAAAATACAAGAGAAAGTCCGCCAAAAAAGCCTGCATTAGTAGAAGTGGTAATATACAGAAGGTTTGATTTGTGTATATTGTTTTCGATGGAAATACTTAAGTTCCAGTGCAGCAGTATGATTGAGAATCATGTAGGAACTTACAACATTTAACACTTTTTCAACACGGCTGTGACTTATGTTGCTAAATTAAGCAGACTGCTAAGCAGACTGTGTACAAAGGATGGGCAAAGCTAGTGTGATGTCACGCGTCGCTCTGTGAACTCCTGTGTTGAAGACTTAAGTTTTGCCAGCGTCATGTTGTTTCTTTGGAGCCAAAAAACAGGTGGAGTGCTAAGTTATCAGCTAGTGCTAGCAAGCGTCAATAGATATGTGCATCCAGACTGTATGAGTGCATCACACAGATAGTAATAGCTCCTAAATATGATGTTACATGAGCTTTCATGGCTGCTTCCAACCTTTAGTGAGTGCAAGGCTACAGTAGTATGATGGTGAAATTTGGCTAACGGGGGGGGATGCAATGTCCCTTGCTATTCAGTCCCTACTTTTAAAAATAACCTTTAACCTTCCTCTTGTGTTAGCTTTCTGTTATCATCTCTTATGTTAACGGGTCGGTTTTGACCCGTGAATTAAATCAGCTATAAAATACACTAAAAACAATAAGTTATCATCCAATTTGTTTCTCATCTCTTGGTTACCTTGTTACGCTTCCTTATCCATGAAAATGTTGGTTTTAATACTTTTGCTGTGGGCCTCTGGGTCTTTTTTTGTCACTATACCCCTCGATTTCAATTTAAAAAAAATTGTAAAATTAACCTCAAGAGAATCATATTAATAAATAAAAGGTTTTTGACCTGACTATTACTGAAACAATAATAACCTCTCCTGCCATTTTTCACGTCTTTCATCTCTGAACTTGTCACATATGCACTTTTTCCCCACTCTAAAAAATACTCACTGCACGACATTTGTAGCTAGCAGACGGACTGCGATCAAAGCTGCACAGAAACACCTAATGTTTGTAATGTTTTGTTGCACTTGTTAGACTGCATTTTAAATGACCGACCACTTCAAAACAAGTTATAATTTTCATACTCACTCCCAGTCTGTAGAGCTAACTATATCCTGAAGTACTGTAAACACAAATTTACTGACATCAATATACATAAATTTAGCTAACCTAGGCTAAGCTAAGCTAAGCTAAAATAGTGTTTATCAGTCCTACAGTTGGGAAAATGCACAAAATAAAAAGCATGATCGAGAGGTAGCAACATAGACATCCACCTGTCATACAAAGAAACCACGCCTCACATAATGCATACTTTAAGGCTTAATTCAAATTAAATATATAGTGACATATATAAAAATTCAACCCCTATAAAGCTGTCATGGTGTAAATATGCAATAGATATAAAATATATTTTTAATCAGACTTTAAACATCTTTATTTGTGCTGTAAGAATGTGCATTTTAACAGTGGGGATTAATTGGATTTGACTCACTTTTGCAGTCAGCCTCATGTGGACATTTGAGTAACTGACATTTTTGGCATTTGTGTTGTTTCAGCTCCAGGGCTTGACACTCAAACTACAATCTCTCTAAATTAAGAAAAATCTATTGAAAAAGACATGAAATACAAGTGCATCAGAAGAAGCTGTGTACTGTATATCTTTATTATGTGCTATGTACATCATTTACAGTATAATACAGCAACAATATAGGGTTATGCTACACACTCAGGATTGCACAGTTTTAGAGTTAGGCCACAGCGGTTGGGTACCGTGGTTATGAGACATAACAGTAAGTACAGCATACATCTTTGGCTTCATTGAAATAACAAAAGCATGAACACAGACAATGCAAACTTTAGTCCACAGGAAGTACTGACTAAAAAAAAAACAGAAGGAAAGGAAAAAAATCCATGTTTTCTTCATATTTGAGTTGTGTTTCAGGTTAATACAACAACACAGCCCTGAATTCAGTCAAAATGATTTTCCCACGTGGGATGTGCCTGTGCATACGGAAATAATCTGTGCATACACCAAGGGGATCACAATAGCGAGAGTAAATTCTAATTCATTCTCTAACTGGCATCATTTCTCCCAGCCTATTAATTTGCGGTAAAATTAAACTAGTCCTCATTTTGCTGGGCTTGTTTTCCGATTGAGGCCGCCTCTCTGCCTCCTCGCCCGGTAATACAGAATCTCCGATTCTCCTCCCACCAACACACAGCGGCGGTCACGGCCTACAGAGCGTCGGGTTGAGGGACGGAATACAGAGAGAAACAGAGGAGACGAAGATTGGATGAAAAATAGATGGGGAAAGAGAGCAGTAAAGAGCGAGTGGGAGAGAGAGGAGGGGAGTGACACGGTGAGATAGAGCAAGAGAGAGGGGAGCCGACAGAGAGATGGATGCAGCAGGGTCGCTGAGGTGAGGAGATGGTGTAATGATTAGATCACAGATACCCTTGAGCCTTCCTCCCGTCCCTCCTGCCCACAAAAAAAAAGAAAAGAAAAAATCTGGAGGCACACTTGGAGGAGAGGAAAGCCTGCAGCTGTAAATGGCCCCGCTGTCAGAGTTCATCTGGGTGGAGGAGGGAGAGCAGGAGTGGATTACCAGAGTCTGCGATTAGAGGAGCCCACTCCAGCTCTCCAGTTCTCCCCAGACGGGGGAGAGGTGTGCTCCTTCTGCAGCACAACTCTCTCTCACTCTCCGATTTCTTAAAGATGTTACAGATCTCATGTTTGACTGTTCGGAGACAGCAGTCGCGCTGGAAAGCGGGAGGTCCTGAAGGCTCTTACTTGACGAGAAGTTTCTTGAGCATCGGAAATGATCAATACACGTCAAAAAAATAAAAAATCAAAGTCATGGTGGTATCTGCCCAAGGAGCAGTTTAAACAACCCTCCTTTTGTACTTTGATACTTTGGGCTTGTCTTTCAGAGCTTCCTCTGTTTCTCACGCTCGCAGCAGCACGTCTGAGCCTGCTGCCAGCTGTTTCCTTTAATATCGTTCACCTCCTAATCAGATGATGTCATGCCCAAACTTTTGCAGAGTGAGAAGTGGCTGCTAGGCTGTGTTTAAAATGCTTCCATCTAGTGGTCACTTAATGACACTGTTGATGAGCAGAGGAAAGTGTGTTGGGTAGGCAGGGAGACGGCACAAACATATGACAACGCGATCCTTCGGTCTAGTTCTTTAAGAAAACGTCTGCATATAAAACACATTTCTCCTACATATCATAAAAGGCGTGGAGAGACTGACAAGGAGTTATTAATGACTTTCAACTATAATGGCTCCATTAAGCGTATATAAATGCCTTGCGTCATAATAAATCGTTACTTAAATTCAGAAAATATGATCCTCAGTGGCATCACCGCAGTGCAGACGTGACAGTGGAAGGGCTAGCTCTGACTGGAAGGATTGCCCTGCGGGCTGATTCTCGAGTTAGCTGAAGAGCGATGGTTTCTTTCATCTCGTCAAATCAATACAAACTCTGATAACTCAACGTCTACAAGAGAATTTCACCATAGTTTCCACTTAAGCTGCTTAAGTAAGGAAAAGTAAGGAAAAATGAAGAAATGCAGACAAACAACAACTTACTAGACATTAAAGGACTAGTTCAAAGTAGTGTTTTGACCATCCTTACATAATACATGCGATGTGGACTGCTCTATGACAGGGCGATTGTGAGATAAAGACATCACCAACCATCGATTAAATAAAAGTTTCAGTATGTACACATTGAAAAATAGAAAAAAAGACATGATTTGAGGTTACAGCCAACAAATATTTCATTGCTAAACAAAGCTACACAAAGCCAGCTACTGAGGAGTCCTCCATGTCCAGCCTCCGTGCATGAGCACTATGTTGGATCTGTGTCCTCTGGCACCTTTCTCCTTTCTGCCGTTGATGTTAACATTAAAAGCGTGCACAGCTTGCGTCCCTGTGAAGGTTTTTATTCCTTCAAATGTGGGAAAATCCGCTTTTACTTTTACTAAGGAGGCATTGTGCACAACCGGGGTGAGGGCGGTGGGGGAAGGCAGATATAAGCGTGACAGAAAGGTTTCTAAAAGATGACGTTAGTCCTTCTAGACTACTTAAAATATATTTTTTTAATATATTTTTCTAATCCATTTCTGTGAGACAGGTGTCGGTGGTAGTAAAGCCTCTCCTGGTCGACCAGTGCAGCCTCTGGATTGTAATCAGCCGTGTTTATCAAACCTGCACACGATGAAACTGGAACAACAGCTCAAAACATGCTAAGAAACGATGAGACGATAAACTGGGGAAGAACAAGGCTGGGGCTGTGTATGTGCTTTTCTTTTCTGCCGTTCAGCGCTAAGGTAGCAGGTGGCTTCCAGGTAGCGTGGTTTGTCCCCTCCCCCTTCCACCGCCACCACCACCCCCGACGAGCCGCTAATGCCTCCAATAAGATAAACCCTTGGCGGATGGGCTCTTGTTGACAGAGCTGCCACCGATAAGAGCGTGGGGATCGCTAACGGCCAAGACAACTAAAAAACATGAGAGGCTGGTCTGGAGATAAAGAATGTAGGAGGTGGAAGGAAAATAGGAACAACAGCGATCAATTGCTGGCACTGTGCAGCGATGCTATCCGACACCATCCCTCTCTTACATCTCCTGGAAGAGTGCGTGTGCAAGTGTGCGGCGATAATAGTCTGAAGGGAGAGGAGAGGTGGGTGGCGCGCGCGTGTGTGTGTGTATGAATCTAGGTCATCAAGTCATCAATATCCACCTGCATTAGTGGAAAAAAACAGGCAGGCAAGGTCAAAACTGACTGAAATCCCTTCAGACATGAGGATGAAAGGGGAAAAAAAGAAAAACTGAAGTGTCTCCCAACTCTCAGATGACTCTATTCCCACACGGAGCGATAAGGTAGGGGGGTGTAGATGGATGAATGGATGAGCGGATGAATGGAAGAGCGGCGTTTGAGTATCTGCTGCTGACAGTTCAGGCAACGGACGACTTGGCAAGCGGAAACAGGTGGGAGTTGTGGCGCTGCGGCTGGCTAGGGCAGGGAGGAAGGAAGTGGAGGATGAATTATGGATGGACGGATGAAGTGAGGGGGGGGGGGGGGGGGGGGGGGGGGGGTGTCTGGCGAAGACCTGTGCCCCGCTGACAGGCAAGCTGCTAGTCGGTGGAGTCGCTTAGCCACACAGAGTCAAGCAGAAATGACTGTGCATCTCTGCATCTGCAGCGTGCTATAGCCCTTTCCTCTCCCAAAGGCTTCCGGGATGGTTTTAGGCAACAGGGCACCGTGGAGGTGAGCGAAGCCGTCTGCTTCACTCTGAAAAGTAACGCGCGAGCAGACGGGGGTGCAAAAGCTCACTCAGTCACTGTCATGAGATCGGTTTGCTTACTCCACCGCTGCCCTTCTTCTTTTACCTTCCTCTTTTTTCCCCTCACGCGGGCCCTTTCACTCCTCGCACTCTTCAACGTATGTGGATGGAAACCAGCCCACCTGAGGGGGGAAAAGAGACTGAGATTAGTAACCAGACAGGGGTCGAATGTCGCCATCAGTCATCATTTTCTCAGTCCGCTTTAGCTGTTGCTACTTCAGACACTTTGCAGATGTAACCAGGACCCAGAAAAGAGCTGTTGCTGCTGCTTTGATGCCTTTCTACTGCCCTGTCCAGCTCTCCTCATTTAAAGCCCACCTCCTGGTATCTCCTCCATGCTGGAAAGCACAGCAAACATTTTTAACAAAAGCACATATGGATGCGCCATCTTGGAGGAGATGGACTACCAGTACAACCTGAATGGTTTGCAAACACCATCAAACGCCGTCAGCAGTTACGAATCTAACAAAAAGCAAAACTAGGGAAAAACAGTCAGAAGGGATAAGGACAAAGCCACGGTTTGTCGTCACCACTTCCAAAACGATTCCCTTTTTTTGGGCGTTTCCTCTCCAGTGCAGCTGTGTTCACTTGGCCTTGTGTTATACTGAGCCGATCGAGTGTTTCTGTCACGGTCATCCTCGTCTTTAAACGCCACAGGTCTGGGTCTGTGTTTACATCCTCCTGTTTTAGTGCTATTGTGATGGTTTCCTTCATTTTTTGAGAAGTGTAGTGAAACTGTGAGTCAACACCCATGACATGTCATAAAACCACACATAATCAACTGTCTGTCTACAGTAGGTCAGTGGCAAAGGGAAAAAATAATGGGGTAACTGACTTTAAAGAAACTTTATAGCATATTTATCTGCATTACGCTCAGAAAAATTGTTTAAATCAGCACATACCAGACGAGATGCATGCAGATACTGATTGGCCAATAGCAACTTGGTAAAATTAACAAAAACTGTTGTATTGCTTTAATGATGTGATATTATTGTTCTGATATATTAGAATTTTAAATAGAAAAGAGCCAACAAAAGTAATACCAACTGTTTTTACTGGCTGTTTGCCCTAAAGAGACACTAGCAGCACTTCACAGACTCTTCTTCCCCTCCTTAGTTTTTTTTAAGTGGCATCAGTGCACACGTCAGGCTTAGTAAAAGTGAAAAGCTCCATTTACCGCAGCTGTTCACTTCACACTCGCAGCGCAAACACATTATTTACACACAAGCACGCACTCAGCCCGCCGCTCGCCGCCGAGCTAAACTCCAGCCACGAGTGGGAGTCGACGCACAGATTTCCTGCCTTTTCGCTCAGAATTTAACACCTGATTAGAGAGCGCTCCCGGCATTGGGAAAACGTATGCATTTAAGTGATATAAGAGCAGCAAATGAATCCTTCCAACAGGATATGTGGAAACATAAATACTGCACACAACTGACTAATGAATAAATAGACTGAGTCTGAACAGCCCCTTCCAGGTACCCACAGACAAAAATATCTGCCAAATTTTTCTTCTGCAAAACGCCCGCTTTTACTGCTACCCAAAATTGGATTTAAGAATTTAGCAGCTAGAATCATTTCAGAGTGAAGACTGCTAATACAAACTTCTGTGCCTTGATTAAACAATACTGACAGATACTTACTTTATATCAAGGTTGATTGTTTTTAAAGGAGAATAATGGCATGCTGCCCACCAACATGGGGATTTTTAGAAAAAGATGATATCCTGGAAGGCAAAACCAAGTCCCCCCTCCCACAATTTGCCATTGAGCACCTTAAGGTTTCCACTCACCCTGCCGTTGACCTCGCCCCTCCACCAGCCATTAGCTCCCGACTTGGTGTAGATCTTAACCACGTCTCCCTCCTGCAGAGAGAGCTCCCGGGTGTCGCGTGAGCTGAAGTCGTACCGCGCTATTGCCACACCGATCACTTTGGGGGTGAACACTGCAGGGAGAGAAAAGAAAATGACGGGGATGCAAAACAGGACAAAAAAGAGAGAATGTGCTCATCCACGGTTTGTGCTGACGACGAGTTCAAACACATCGGTTGCAACATGTAGACGCTCATACGGACAGAGAGGTGGAGAAGCCTGGAGTTACACACGTCTAACTTTGACACCTACAGGTTTCTTTTTGGTCACCGATTTTTTTTTTCTTCCTTTCACACAAAGATAGAAAGGACCTTCAGCGCCCCTCCCCCACAGCGTCAATACCATTCCAGCGTCTCTGATCCTTTCATCTAAAGTATTCAAGAAAAAAAACCACAGAGCAAATATAATGACGGAAAAGTTTTAATTACGCAGCCAAATTCAGCCAGCTGTTCTTCATAAAACTAGCTAGAATCTACTATGAACAAAAGGAACTATTTTATGTAAAAAACTGCCAATTTTGTACATAAAGCTGGAATTTCAGCCAGGTAATTTGACCTCTGGCGACTTTGTACAAACTCACTACTCTGAGTGTGAGAGCTTTAGAGCCATAGCTTTAGCTTTAGCAGGGTTCTGACAGCAGTCTGTGTTAGACTACATGTCTCCTGTTGAGCAGACAGCGGTGTGAGAGACACATGTGGAGCAGGCTAGCTAGCTCCATCCTACCCCTGCCAGCTCTCTTCTCTTTCAGGCGCTGACCGGTGGTCCGACTGGGCAAAGCTGACATGTGGAAATGGAATGTCAAACCTCTACAAGCTGGCCGTAGGGATAGAATATCTAATATAGAGGAGCTCTGTGTATTTGGACACTTCCACCTTTACTTTGACAGACAGACCTGGACAAGCACACACAAAACCCAGCCACATACCAACTGTGGAAAACATCTCACACACTCTACTCTTTTTCTTAAAGGTGCACCTCACACACACACACACACACACACACAAGCAGGCACATGCAAAAATGTGGACACACATCGTACAAACGTGCAATTTGTACAGAATGGCATGTATGTGCGCAAAACTACATAAGAGGTGAGACGGCTCAATGAGAAGCTACATGAAAGATGGAAAAGGCCCAGATTTTCATGCGGTGACGCAAACGGACAGCCAGCATTCCCGAGCAGCCATCAACAGGCGAGGTGAAGAGAGAAAGAGACCCAGTGTTAAAGTGACAGGCAAAGACAGGGAGAGAGAGAGAGAGAACCAATACCTGTACCTGACCAGAAGGGAGCAGAGGAAGGAGGTACAAAGCTGTAGCCGGCAGGAGTTAGAAGAGAGAGGCCGCAGAGCAATGGGGCTATGGCAGGGCGGAGGCAGTGCAGGCCAGGCAGGGGGGGTGGAGAGATGCAAGACGGGGGAAGAGGAGGGCAGGAATGGGTAGGGATGGAAGGAGAGAGAAGCAAAGGAGAAGGAAAAAAAAGCATGTTTTGTAAAAATATTTTGATCTTTCTTTTCAGAGGTATTTAAAAAAAAAAAACACAGTCGCAGTTTGATGAAAAATAAATGATGACAGGCACAGGGGGAGAGCCAGTGAGACTTATCTACACAGCCACTGGAAGCAGCTCTTTCACTGATGTTCGGTGGTTAATTAATTTGTGCCCCTGAAAGTGTTTACTGTGTTTTTGGAACTACAATTATAATTCTAATCTTTTTTTCTCCCAAACTCAAATATGAGATCAAACCATAACATTTATCAAAACTTGCAGCAATTTGTCGATGACTAAAGGTGAGAATTTTGAATTCTAAAAGCCTCTCACGTTCAAAAATCTTCTACAGTCACTTGATATGGAATAGAAAACACAGTAACAAGCTATCAAACGGCCGTTATGAATGTGCAAAAGCGAGAAGAGGGTCTTTATCTAATTGCCATCGCTGAATTAAAGGAAACACTGAAGGTCCTAAAAATGTGCACTGCTCCTAAAATGTTGTTGAGACACTAAGCGATGACATATCTTGTTCCACTTTGCTAAAAGGACTTCTGCCTCGCTAATGAGGGATGACATCTTCGCTTTATTGCATTTAATTGAGAAGAACATGCAGTCTACTCACAATTACAGCGCGAAGGGGGATTTTTGCACAGTTGGAGACGTAGCTGTAATATTCCCCCTGACTTGCAGATGCTCAAAAAACACGGTAATGTACCCCGTTTCTTTATTTCACATTCAACTATTACAGGATTTTTCGAGTGTGCTCTAATTGCTTTTGTGCGGGCTGTTTCTGAACCTGAAAATGTTGCAGATACTTCTTTACAAAGACTAACTGTGCCTTTATCTCGGCGTACAGCTTGAAAAACAACCCACCAGAGAACCACTGCATTTGTATTTCCGTCTGTCTTCCAGTCTGTCTCCTATTGGCAGAGGAGGCAGCTACAGAAACTGATCCTGTTCCAGTAACGTCTGAGAGTTGGCAGTGTCACTGCCTTGCTGTGGGAAATAGAACCTCTAACCCTGACAGTATTAGCACCTTGGTGTTCGTGGGTTATTTTGGAACGTAACTAAAGAAGCAGTGAAAGTTTGGCATGAGAACAGTCAGGGTAAAATGCTAACGCTGAAAAGGGTTCTTTTTTGCTCAGTTGTGTTGCTAAAGTACAGAAACAGACCGCAGAGAATAAATGTAGTCGACTTAAACAGATGCCAGTGATTATTTCAGTCCAGAAAAGTTAAACTGTGGTGAACAAAACAACCAAAAAAGAAAGGATCATGGAAAA